GGAGGCAAAGCATCATTTAGCGATCCCAAAGGACTACAAAGTAAGACTGTCAATTGTTCTCATCCTTTAGGAGTCTGAATTTGGTTCATTTGTGTCCTCTACAATTTCTGTGATTCCTAGCAGGTGACCGAAGAGAAGGTCTGCAACCTCGTGAGGAGAGAGGAGATCTGCCATGGACTGAGGGATCAGGGCAGAATATATAAGGAGGTCAAGGCCAACGTGAAGAAAAGCCAGGTAAAGGTCTGCAAGAGGACGGAGGAAGAGGCCAGGTGGATGATTTTAAAGTGGGGGACCTTACTCTGAAAAAAATGTGCGACAGGAGATGAGGAAAGGGGGCAAGTTGGAGGCCGACTTGGTGGGACCTCTTAGAATAATCAAAATAGAGGGAAAGAATGCAGACCTGGGGCCCGTTGTTTGAAAGCAGAATCAGGCAATCCAGGTTAAGTGGAAAAGCAAGGCTGGACAAAGTCTCAGTCCATTCTGGCTTAATTGGTTGCTCGAACGCCAAGCCAGGCTGAGGAGGAGCGGCTAAGTCAAGCCAGGTGTAACTTATTCAGGTAAGTGCGCGTCAGCGGCTTTCTTAAATGAGTACTGTCTGAAGGACATCCATGGTGTCCACAATTGCTGAGCTAATAGATATGTGTTTTACAGAATTCACAAACTGTCAGACAGCTATATGCAAGTCATCAGAAGCAGATAGCATTGGCAGATGTGAAGCTCCAGTGTGAAAAGAGAAAGCTGCAGGACATGGAGCTTGACAGACAAATATTAAAAAAAAAAACCTTAAGGAAACTGGACTTGGAAATTAAGAAACTAGAGAAAGAAGTAAGTGATTTTAATGCACACTGTAAGCATGACTGTGATGCAATGTATTAATCAATGTTATTTCTCCCTCTCCCAAGCTCCAAGCAGACAGTGACTGATTACAGTATTTTTCATTTAAATAAAATGAGGTCACAGAATATTGTAGTTTCCTCTTCCTGTTTTCATTCATTAATGTAAAGTACACTGGAGTTATTGATCCAGTTAACTGGGAATGCAATTTGGGCAGGTCATAGGCTACAGTTATGAAACCTAATAACCGCTAATGTGTTACCAATGCCAAATACACCTACTTGTATGTGTATTCCAACAATTAATCCTTTTATTGGTGAGGATATCTGCCTGTCAAAGTATCCTTGGGCAAGATGCTGAACCCCAGATTGCTCCCAATATTTTATGCAACCTGTGTGGTGGACTGACGACATTAGTGTGTGTCTTAGAATGGGTCAGTGAGCAAGCGACTATTTAATAAAAACTGCAAACAAAGCAGCTATTTTAACAAAAAACCCTGCTATAAAAGCAAAATGGGGCAAATACGTACATAAGAACGTGGAATAACTGTAAAACACATTGATTTCCGATCGCTGCGACAGCTGACTGGACAGATAAGGCACCAGGATAAACTAAATCTCCATGGTAGCATATGTGCCTTTGCTTTCGAACAACCGAAGCAAAGCTAAATTAAGCCAGGATAACCAACATATCCCGGCTTAATCCCTTATCTAGGTTTTGAACAATAGGGCTCTGGTCTCGGAGACGGGGAACAAACCATCAGAGTGAACATATATCATTTAATACAATATTTCTAGCCAGTGGAGAAGATCACTGCCAAATCCTAATTCTTTGGCTGGTCCACAACAGACTCAGACACTCATACCCCCCACCACATCTGTTACACCAACTCATGAGTTGCAGCACCCAAAGACCATCACATGATGCAGATATTTGTAAGTACACTGACATAGAACACCCCAAATTATGCATTTCATGAATAAATGCCATTACCATGTTTTTTTATGGGCAGGGAGGCGGAAGGCCATGCTATGGTCAAGACTGGGGCCATACAAAATATATTCCGAGGATATTTTGTACCTGGCCCCAGGAAAGGAGCTTGAGAGTCAGGTATTTTAAGAAATATTATTTGACTGATATGCGTCTTTCCAGACTGATCACATTATTGTTCTCAAATTGTGAATGCATACCTAAGAACGGTTGGGAGGAAATGTGGAGCTGCCATTACTGACAGTTACAAATGACGTCAGTATGGCAGGGCACACAAAGAGGTCTGAAACGGGTGACTAGGATTCAATTTTTTTTACCCTTTTCAATACAGTGACTTTGTCAATTAGATATGATGTATGATTTGATGTCTGTTGTTTTAGTTGGCCCTTGATCATGATGTGGCAGCAGGAGCAGTGTCATCCTAAATGTTAACAGATGTGAACACAACAATTACATTATGTTATGCTGCTAGGGGGTTGCTACAATTTGTTTTTGCATTTCCATAGATCTTGTACCTTAAGGAGATGAGGGCCTTGTATGTGGACCCCTTTGGGGCCACTCAACAGCACATTGAGAAGTGCAAACATGTAACAAGGTGAATCAGCCGTAATGTGTGCATTAGACACATGTATTCATGCATTTTGGATAATCTTAAGGGAGCAACAAGCCAATTACATCATTTGCCTTGTGGCTGTTTCACTAGCCTGACATAAGCTTGTCCTTTTGAGGGCCTTTAACATGATTCAAGTGATCTGGAATTGAAAATCAGTGTGTTCTGTGTAGGGCACTGGTTCGCCAAAAGTGTCCTGCTATTGGGAGATGGGCATGTTCTACAGTAGCTCATCCAAGACGGCAGGACATAACGTCATGTGGCGTGTTTGTGTGCAAGGCAATGACTCAATTATCTCTGTGCCAGTCATTAAAGAAAGTCACCAGAATCAGACTTCTAGCTTGCAGAGCAGATTCTGCTTGCACAACAGGTACAGTGCCCCATGGACCAGGAGAGTGGGGCCATGTTGCAAGTGAACATGGCTAAATACAGGTACTTGGCTAATAAAGCTGATTCCAAATGATCACTGTTGTCTTCACTTCCTTTATAGTGATGGATGAGTTCGGCTGCTATGTAACGTGAGAGCTTGCATTGCATATCTGAACTTGACTTTGGGCACTGTGTTGGCATCAATGAAATTTGCCCACTTTGTTTACACCACAGATGGCACGTTGCCTGTGCTTTTTAATAGTATATTTCGGCGGGTCTGAATAGTGATGATGCAAGATTGAAAAGTATCCCAGTATGTTGTGAAGCTGTGTTATGTTGTTTAGCATTTTGGCTACAATATGCCTCAATTCGCTCACGTTTGCATTCAGATTTTATTATTGTTCAAGGTTTACTAATGTTACTGGCTGGTGACAGTGGTCTCTGTTACTCTGAATGGCATCAGTGGAAAGGATGGCAGGGACACTGCTATCAGCGGTTTCACTTTGGCATTGGTATTTCCACGTGGTTTTGTCGGGGAGCATAATTGATGTCCAGCAAACCATTCCTATGGTAATGATACACACAGATACACCCTGGACAGGTTGCCAGACTATTGCATGTCTTTGACCTGTGGGAGGAAGCTGGAGTACCTTGAGAAAACCCACGCTGACACAGGGAGAACCCACCAACCTGGGTTCCCACCAGGAACCCTCTTGCTGTGAGGCAACAATGCTAACCACTGCACTGCCATGCACCATCTGTCTCTATCACCAGTTAGTCTTGCACACTGGGCTGCGGGGCTGGACACACAGTGTGGACAAACACAGGAGAAACTCAGTCACAGGCAATATTCATTGAAGGCACAGTGAAAACCTGTGGAGACGGGTCTGGAGGCAAACCAGCAAAGCTTCTGAGAGCAGAGAACCAGTTATGGGCAGAAGCCAAGAGACAACACTCGCAGAATCAAAATCCTCAGAGACAAATCAGCAGTAGTGTCAGGACGCGCCACACCGCGGTGCGCAGTACAGCTGCGACGCGCCTGCAGAGCGCAGACACAGACCCCAAAATAAGCTATTACAAATATGCCCGTAATGAAACGTGAATTTAAAAAAAACAAAACTCAAACGAGCATATACATACCGGAGCGCAAAGGCACAGCTTCCCCAACAGTGAGGAGGATGACAGAGGCCGAGCCACGGTTTAATCACTGTTAAGAGACCGTAATGAGTTACATCAAGCGGTGTACCAAATTAAAGCACGGACAAGTTGAATATAAACCGGCTTACCTTCATAAGTGAAGCTGCATGAGGCGGGAGAGCTCCGGTACACACGCCACGACCAGCAGACAGCCACGCTGCAAGGCAGAGGGGCAGAGCAGATGTAATGGCCACACACACACACACACACAGAAATCCCCCCAAAGACACACAGCAAAACGGCACCACTTACAGCTTCAGAGGATCAGAAGAGCCACAGTGCACCACCAGGCTCCAGGAAGAGATGAGAGTGCTGAGCAACAGACACCTGCCCAGATCATAGTTCTGCCAGCCCCGCCCAGCAATCAGGGCGCAGGCCATTAATGAGCCACACCTGGCTGCAGGCACTGAGGAGGGGGAGAGAGGGGCAATGATCCAATGAGTGCCACATATGTCAGCAAAGTACGATTAAGTTACTGAAACATACAATTAACAATGTCAAATGGTCTTTATACACACTATTTTCTCAGATAATGTTGAACCATAGAGATGAAAGTGTGCCAAATTCTGACAGTTTGCCAGATATTTTGTTATTTTTAGACTAGTCACTAGTCTGAGTTTAAACTTCCGTTTAAACATCAGTGAATTAGTCATAAGGAATATCCCATCTCCTGACCTCTTTACTGTTGGTTCCTTCTAAGGCTGCTGATGATTGTTGTTGCTGATGGATACAGTTTATTGTAGAGTAAATCAATGTGAATATAGTAAACTGGCTGAAATATAAACAGTCTTTGACTTGTCAAATTCAGGAAGATTAGGAAAAGAATGATGTAGACTGAGCACTTAGGAACATACATTTAGCAACATACAAAAGTTGTTTCAAAAAAGGTCAGAAAGAGGAAGTTACACAAACCTCAACACAGAAAGTAGAGTCTCCATTTCTCTTAAACACACATCAGCTCAGAGACTCTGACAGTTCACAGCTGAGAGGGGACAGGAAAAAAACACAAGATGGTTAAAATTAGGTGGATTGAAATGTCTTTATTTATGAAACTGCTGCTTCAGTTCACAGGTAAGAACACATACCACATATCCACCTTATTCCTGAGAAGTGATTATGGGCATAACTTCTGGCCAGATAGCAGCTTTTTAGCTTTGTGGTTAATATTGGTGGTCAAACGCCAACCACGGTTCGTTTTGAAAGTAAATTCCCTTCAGTTTAGTAGAGATTGCTTTGTTTTTGGTCAGATATATGACTAAAGTTTCAAATGTGAAACCGTAAACATTGCTACTTTTAATACAATAATTTGCAGCTGTTAAGAAATTTGTCATTACCAACAGCTAGAAAAAGTTCAATAGGTTGCCTGCTGCTGAAGATGTCTGGCCCATCGACATTTTCTAGTTTTAGAATTTGTAATTGATGGCCCTGCTCTACGTTTGCACGTGCTTGGAATGACATAAGAAATAATAAAACCAAAAGAGTCTAAGAGAGGATAAGTATTAAATAAGTATTTGCAACCCGGTCTCATTCCAAAGTCGATGAATACAAGCGCTTGGGCAGTGACTTTCAGGGTCAGACACTGACGAAAAAGCCGTCCTTTCATGTCGTGATGATACATGGTCAGTCTCTGTTATTGTGTGATGGCGTCGGACGGCATCACAGGGAAATGCACCCAATCAACAACGTAAGTAAGGGTCCATAAAATCCGAGTAGTGTAGATGGGGGTGGTGGTGGACCGGTCTTACAATCACCAACTTTCATCCGAGAGGCCGGTGTTCACTTCCTATATGACTGTAAAGCCAAACCCTGTTATTTTTTTTTTCTAACCACTCAACCACGTGCCTTTATTGCAAAAACCTAACCATGTGCGGTTGTTGGCTAGACATAACAACGTGCATTTGTTCACTAACGTAACCACGTGCGTTTGTTGTTGGATGAAAAAAATGTCAATTTGTTGGTCATTCCGAGGCAGTGCTTTATTTTGAAAGAGACTGTGTGCATACTGTGCATTTCCTAGGACAAGTGAAGTGTAATTTGAAAAAACACAATGCATGTAACAGGCTGAAGTTGACATGGTATGTCAACAAGCAAAGCACCCAGGGTAACTTGCACGTCATACATCAATGTGGATAGTCCATGCTGCATGTGTGAAATGAAAACTCTAGACAACATCGGGATCTGATTCTCTGGATATTATTTTAAGTTCATATGAGAAATTGGCTTAAGATAGCCAAGTCTGTTGTTTGTTTTAAACAATGAATGCAAATAATAATTTATTGAATACAAGGAATAAGACACATCTGCAGACGTAAGACCCTTACACACCGATGACCATTTCCATGCAGTTGGTTAGCACATCAGTACATTTCTCCGAACTGTTTATGTTTTTTACTTTCACACAGAATGCTAATGTAACATGGCGGAATGTTACCTAATTTTGGGGGGTAACAAGGTTAATTTATCTGAGCTTTTGCACTGTGAATAAAGGCATCAGTCAGTCACATTGCAACTATCCTAAGAGGATCATAAAATGACAACATGGAAGTTCCATAGTCCAAACAAAGACAGCAGCCTTTATCACTCAGACAGACTGACAGACACTGCTCTTGATCAGTAGAATCCCGGTAGATCTGTTCGCATCAAAACCTTTTACTGAATCACTTTTGCAGCTGGTGCAAATTTGCATCACTTCTGGTATGAACAGTTTTAATGCAAAATATTCACAGGGGAGTATTTTGCATTATCATGTTGCATATTCGTCACGTCGCTGGTGTGTACAGACCTTTGAGCTGTATCTAAAACTATCCTCACACTAGCTGTCAGCATGAAAGCACATTCATTCAATTTTCTTCTCTCATTTTATTCAACAGCAGTGACCGGACAATATTCCCCCAGCTTTGTTGTCAGCGATGGAGATGATGTCACTTTGCCTTGTGGAAATTTGATAGATAATCGGAGTGAATGTGAGGGTGCTTACTGGATCTTCAGTAGTTCACTAAGCACATTCTCGTTAATGCTGGTGGACCAGGGGCAGATTGAGGCTAAATCAGACAGACTGAGTGTTACAGAGAACTGCTCGCTGGTGATGAAGAAGGTCAAACTTGAGGATGTTGGTCGTTACAGCTGCAGACAGTTTGAATCAGGACGTGGAGATGCCCATGTTCATCTGTCTATTATCAACAGTGAGTATTTACAGTATGTTTTAAGCTTAAACTGACTGTCTGAACGATATAAACATAATAATTATGATAACAGAAATGAGTTTTACTCTTTCCATCTTTCTCTCACAACGTCTCCATCTCCACCAGTGACTGAAGATAACAACGCTGATGGAGTGACCTTAAACTGCTCTGTGTTGACACATAAATGGTGTAGACACACACTGGAGTGGCTGTATGAGGGTAAAACTGTGGATGAAGACATGGAGACATCACAGTCTGAGTGCTCGGTTACTATGACATTTCCTACTACTCATCCCAAGCAGAAGCCAAAGTCTCACGAGTTGTTTAAGTGTAAAGTGACTGATGATTTCAGTGGAGACGTGCAGCTGTTCACCTTCAGCCGACCTCAGGCCTCAGGTGAGAAACCAGGTGAGATTATTATCACAGTATAAACTAACTCATAAACTACTTTCTTTTTAATCTTTCAAGATTTATTAATATCCTTATTTTTATTATCCTAACTCATTGTAGATGGGAAACCTCAGATATTATTTTCTCACTGTACAGTTTGTTTGCTTTTGTCATTTCATGTGTCCAGGTGCACAAAGCACAAAATCAAGAGCCAACACAACTGGTTCGCTTCATACTTGTCAGACAGGAAGTTTTGTGTGTCCGTTAATAATGTCAAGTCATCCGTTTCCCCTATAAAGTACGGTGTGCCTCAAGGATCAATCGGTGTCTCATTCTCATTATACATGCTCCCCTTGGGTGATGTCATCAGTCGAGATGGTGTCTCTCTCCACTCTTATGCGGATGACACTCAGCTGTACCTTCATCTTACAACAACTGACCTCAGCATGCTGAGCGCTCTACAGAACTGTCTATGTGATATCAAAAATTGGATGTCAGCATTGGAGGTCACAGCATATCACAAAACAAATACTGCCATCTACCACATCCACCTGTCACAAGACGTAAAGCCTGTTGCAAGAAATCTTGGTGTCATGTTCAATAGTAATTTATGTTTTGAACAACATGTCACTAAGCTTGTCCAATCATGCTTTTATCACCTCAGAAATATTGCTAAAGTAAGATTTATTTTAACTTTTAGAGATACAGAAACTGTTATACATGCTCTTATCTCTTCACGTCTTGATTATTGCAACAGCCTTTATTCCCATCTCAATCAAAAAACCTCACGACTTCAGACTGCTCAGAACTCACACCAGTTTTAGCCTCTTTTCATTGGCTCCCTGTTTGTTTGAGGATTGACTGTAAAATCTTAATGATTACTTTTAAGCAGTGATGGCCAAATGAAGCTTCATGAACCACTGTCTTTACTTTCTGACCCCACTAGACCCCACATGAGGGTTCAGAAAACAAAGACAATGGTTCATGAGGCTTCATTTTGCCGTCACTGCTTTTAAGACTCTTCATGGACTGGCTCCAGATTACATTTCAGACCTGTTAGTCCCTTATGAACCTTTACATATTCGAGATCCTCGGGCAGAGGTCTTCTGCTTGTCCCAGAGTCCAGACTGAGGACCAAAAGGGACAGAGCTTTTGCCACCAGGGCCCCGAGGCTCTGGAATGACCTGCCGAAGGATATAAGTCCGAGTCACTGGCTTCGTATAAGTCTCTCCTAAAAAACATACCTCTATCAGAAAGCATATCCTGACTTTATCTTAGCTGTCTGTCTATTTCATTGCTATCTTCCCGATTTTAATGCCCTTTTATTATCTTGATTTTAACTTGACTAAATGACATTTTATGACTTGTTATTTGTTTTGTTCTTCTTGTATAAGGTTTTTATTTGTATTTAGTTTTATTGTACAGCACTTTGTGCTTTGAACAGTGCTATATAAATAAAATTTATTATTATTATTATAATTATTATAAAAATAGTTTTCATGTTTTAAGTCCAATTTTCAGGTTGGCTGAGGTATATAGTTGTGTGTGGAGGCTTAACAACGCTCATAATAATTGCTGTGGCAGTCAACATATGGACAAGAAAAGGTGAGAATATTCACATATTAAATTTCTATAAACCAGGAACTTTGCAAAGCGTGGGTTTACATTGTGAGACTAAACTATTTTTGTTTCCTTTCAAGGCAAAACACAGATGGATGACAATGCTGTGAGTTTCAAAACTGGATAATCAAATGCCTGTGTGCAGTATTTCATACTTACAATGAGAATAAACAGTACCGACTGTATCGTTTAGAATATAAGTGGCTGCGGCAACTGAGCCGATTGATTTTTTCCATTTTATCTTACTGTGTTGCGGTGTTTTTCACAGGTGCATGATGATGAAGATGATGGTACAGTGATCTATGAAAATGTTGGAGAACCTTCAGCTTCTGTCAGACTCCACTCATCATCAGCTTAAACATCATCTCACTAGAAAAAAAGAGTCCCCTGCAGTTAATCACCATCTCAAGATCATTTTGCATTTTTGGTGGGTTTGAGCGACTGAATCTTTTCTTTTCATGTTTTAGCTTTGCTGCAGTTTTATCATCATTTGTACAGAAGAACTTATCTTTAAGTAACTTTCATTCAGGGTTGTTTTTAACATGTTTGCTTGGAGACAAATATGTTGTCAGACTTTAGTAGAATAAACTTGAATGAGCTGTGAATTCTAATCGAGTCAGTATCTTTGTTGTAACTGGTAATATAATATGATCTCCAAATAAACTTTTTTTTTAAACTGTACATGTTGTCAAATTAATATTATGTTTCTGGTACCAAAAATCTATTTCAACATAGACTTTTTGGTACATACATTAATTTAAATCCTATGTGTAAGATAAGAATACATTCTGTGAGCTATAAACTAAATTTCTGAAATGTTACAAAACTAGTCTAATGAACCCAAATGTAGATAAAGACACAGACTGGGAGCAGGATCAAATAGGTGATTTTTTAGTGAATAAATGAGTGGAGGAGTGTTGGGAGGCAAAAGTCTGAAGCTGGGGAGTGAAGCAGGGGAGCTGGGCCGAGGAAGCCAGCCAGAGGTTCCAGAGCGGTTGTGTGAACGAAGCAGATGAGATCCAAGTGGTTTCTCAGTTGAGCAGGAGTTTCAGTGAAGGGGAGAGCTGATGTGATGGCGTATGGTTACCAGGAGGAGAAGGAGTGGAGCAGGAGACAGGACTCCATCCATCCATCCATCCATTTTCTAACCGCTTCATCCTCTTGAGGGTTGCGGGGCGCTGGAGCCTATCCCAGCTGACATTGGGCAAGAGGCAGGGTACACCCTGGACAGGTCGCCAGACTATCACAGGGCTGACACACAGAGACAGACAACCATTCACACTCACATTCACACCTACGAACAATTTAGTGTCATCAATTAACCTGCATGTCTTTGGACTGTGGGAGGATGCAAACTCCGCACAGAAGTCAACCGGGATAATACTGTAGGCACAGGGAAACAGGTATTATTATTGAAGCAGAGTAGATTGAAAATCAGAGAAAGAGAGGGAGAGAGAGAGAGGAGGAGGGAAGCTCTTGGCAAGGAGGGAGAAGAGGCTGCAGCAGAGGCTGTGACATGAACAGAAAAAAATGACCCCTCAAGGCTCGATTTTTTTAGCGCCTTAAATTCAGCCTGTAGGTGCATGTAAAACAACACATTTTACTGTAATTATTGGCTGTTCACATTCAGAAATTCAAGAAAATCAAAAGCTGAAAGAGAGATGGGAAGCTGATCAGCCCCTCCTGCATAAATTTGGCAGCTTGCATAAGAGACTTTGAGGAAGTGACACATTACTCATCACAGGAAGTATTTTAATTTATTTTGTAACATGCATCAGTTGAAAGACTCTGACAGACAGTTGAGAGAGGACAGACAGAAGAGAAGTACAATGACTGAATTCCGATGGATTAAAGTGTCTTTATTAATGATTCTGGTGCTGCAGTTTACAGGTAAGGACAAATATAACAGAAATACCAGAAATATTACAAAACGTAACTTTCATTAGGGTAATGATAATGGTATAGATACAGCAACTTTTATTTAACTTAGACAGCCAAGTCTGCTGTTTGTGTGTTAAATATACTGAGTTTTATAAAAGTTGGAAACAAAAGTTATCCTCACACTATCAGCATAAAAGCACATTAATATTTCAAATAGTTTTCCTGTTTTCCTCATCTTTTTCACAGCAGTTGCAGAACAGCTCCTCTCCTTGATTGTCAGAGTTGGAGATGATGTCATCTTGCCTTGTGACAGTGTGACAGATAATCAGAATAACTGTGATGGCACTGCATGGGTCGTCACTTTATCAGGAAACAGAGTAGAAGATCTGGTTAAACTTGGGCAGATTGTTGAAAATGCCAAAGCTAAATCAGACAGACTGAGTGTAACAGAGAACTGTTCTCTGGTAATGAAGAAGGTCACAGCTGAGGATGTTGGTCGTTACGACTGTCAACAGTCTACATCAGGAAAACCTGACACGCTGGTTTATCTGTCTGTTATTAACAGTGAGAATTTACATCATTTTCAGATCAAACTATTTTGTTAAAGTGTTTAGGATTTAGGGGGATCTATTGGCAGAAATTGAATATAATAAAATAAGTATGTTTTCATTAGTGTATAACCTTAAAATAAGAATTGTCGTATTTTTGTCACCTTCGAATGAGACGTTTATATCCACATAGGAAATCCGTCCTTGTCCATGCAAATTGCCATGCTGCACTGCTATGTTTCTACAGTAGCCCAGAATGGACAAAGCAAACACTGGCTGCAGATCAGGCCATTTGCATTCCTGCATTAGCCGCCATAGTTAGATTAGTTGTTTTAGAGAGGTTGAGACCTCTGCGGATAATTCAGCTCCCAGTAAAAACCTCCTCAACATTTGGATCTGGAGTTACCAGAGGAAAAAGGTGAGCAAACATTTGCAGGTGCTGGGCTAGCAGCCTGTCTGTGATGACCCTAACAGCATCAGAGAAGGACAGATTTGTAACATAAAACTGCTTTTTTTCCGTGTTTTTAACCACTTTTCGTTTGTTTTGGAAAGGAGAAGACGTTTTATACACTTATTTTTATTTTGAATACATTGATGTATTTTTCAAAATTCAAGATCAACACATGAATTTTCAGTTTCAAATTTTATTTTTTCAAGTACAAAACTTTTGACCCTAATGTAGCTCCATAGAAGACTTCTGCGGATAATTTGGCTCCTTGTAAAAACTTCCTGAACAATAAACACTGACGGAATTCTAACCAGGGCGAGTTTTAGCTGGTTGCAATCTGCAATTCAGCGCTAGACACCACCAAATCCCCCTAAATCTTACACACTTCACCTTTTTAAACAATATACTGAAACATCACAATAATCGGTTGAGTAAATTTGTCTTTATCAGTGAAGGCACATGAATATGATGACGAGGTGACACTGTCCTGCTCTACATCAAGTAACACGTGGTGTATACACAAAGTGAAGTGGCTGTATGTGGGTACAAATGGGGATCAAGATAACCAAGACATGCCAACATCATATCCTGACTGTTCAGCTAGTGTAACATTTCCTACCATCGATCTCAAGCAGAAGTCAAAGTATCAGTGTGAAGTGACTGATGGTTATACTAAAAAAGTGCAGCTGTTTCCCTTCAGCCGTCAGTTCTAAAGTGAGAAATCAGGTGAGATCATGATGAGTGGTTTATATTTACCATGAACTAATGTGTATTTGTTAAATTTAAACATTTACCATCATATAATTCATTTCCATTTAGTCACAGCAGACTTGTGAGGTTTTCTTTAACCATACAGTTTGTTGGGTTTTGTTATTTCATTTATCCAGGTGAGGATGCAACAGCGGTAAGAACAACTGAAAGCAGCACAAACTCAAGGACCTATTCAACGGTGCCTGCTGTCAGTGTTCCTTCAACAACACCACAAGGTACTGACTCAAAGTGTTGTGTACCTTTCAGTCTTTGTCCCAGCCTTTGAAGCCAAAAGTATGAACGTCAAACACTTGGCTGTGCCTCTAAGAGTTAATACCCCTCTATTTTAGCTACAGGAATTTGGAAAAACAAAACAAAAAGCTGCAACCCAAATGTTCCTAATGTTTTTATTTATTTTCCAGGTTGGTGGTTGTACATCATTGGGGCTGTGGGTTTAGTTACAGTACTAATAATCATTGTGGCTGTCATCATATGGAAGAGACCTAAAGGTGAGAACATTCACGGATGAAACTTTTTGCAAAAGAAGGTTTAAAAAAGCTGGATTTTTACCGTGGAAACTAAACTAAACTTTATCTTTTCAGGCGGCAAAACACAGATGGATGACGACACTGTGAGTTTAAAACTGAATAATCAGTTGTTTACACAATTTTGACTGGAAGCAAGGGGAACCAGCTTGCCTGGCTCTGTCCAAAGTTAAAGAAAAAAGCTGACTAATTAACACGTGTTATCTGTGTGTTTAATCAGTTCCGAACTACGTCTTGATGAACAACAGTTTATCCATCTGTCTAGCATGAGTCTGATGCAGTGTGTATGTAGCTCGGTCCCAGCTCATTCAGGGCTTTGTGTACAAGGAGGAGGAGCTTAAAATATGACACGAATCTGGGGAATTGCTGCACCCAGCTGTTGTTCACCAAGAAATAGTTACAAATTAAGTACAAATTGTGGTTTTTATTTATAAAAATGTGAACTGTAACTAGAGTGTGTTTGTGCAGGCACGGAGCTTAAACCCTGCGGTGACTCAGTCTGGCCCAGAAACCAGTCAGGAGATGGTGAGATCACTCAGTACAAAGTTACACTCAGTGTTATGTGTATGTAAGGTGAATTAGAAGATTCATTTCCTTCTGCCATCAGCAAGAAAAGGGAAGGAAGTAGAGGCAGCTGAATTACACCAGAATAGAACATAAAAGTGTGAAGCAGGAAGTTGTGAGTGTGAAGTGTGGGGTAACGTGGAGAAAACAAACAAAAACAAAACAAAAAAAAAACGGAAGGTGTCTTTTCTCTGCAGGCTGATCCTGAAGATGGTGTTTCCTACACTTCTATCAGCTACAAGAAGACCAAAAGCAAAGCCCAGGTAAGATGTCTGACTGGTTACACTGGTGACATACTGAAGAAACAAAACACAAGTTAAGTGAAGAGTAGAGACACAATTCTACAACTAAAACCCACTTATTTTTGCCTTTTAAGATGGCTATAATCCATATATTATTATGTGAAATGATATTGTGACAATGAAAGGCATTGCTCATGGTGATGAACCTACAGAGAATTATCACTCAACCACCTGGATCTCACTTTTGCTCGGCTTTATGGAGTATAATGGTTTCAGCTCATTGTTTATCTTTACAGTCCTCAGCTGTACTGTTCTGCTTCACTCTTACCGCTGTCACACTGTAGGGTAGTCTTCAGTGAAAAAGCTGTGAACAGCCACTGTACACTACCTGCTCAGCAGTAAACAGCAGACAGACACAGTTAGAAACCAGATGGTGAACATAGTGGAGCATTAAGCAGCTAAATTTCTCTTTGAGAGCTAAAATAGAGTGGATATTGGCCATGCATTCATCAGTTAGATACAAACACCACTCCTAATGTGAATGTTTCTCTGTGTCTGCAGGATGTGTAAATAAAGTTCACCATCATTTGTCATAAGTTTTTATAGTCCTGGTGATTTCCTTTATCATCACTATAAGAGTAGCACATCATCTTCACCTGTACGCATATAAAAGCTGCAGCAAAGTGAATATTTCAGTTGTTACATGGCGACAAAATTAGGACTTTCAGAACTCCTGTCCATGTTGTGTATGTTATTTACTGTATGTGTGGTGCTGTTTCCCTCTTGATTCTCAGGTTAAATATGATGATGATGATGAAGGTGATGCAGTGACCTACAGCACTGTCAAAGTTTCCTCTTCTGCTGCTGGAGCCTCTGCCGATGCCAGTGACCTCTATGCCACCATCAACAAACCAAACAAATAAGAGAGCACAGCACCTGAGAAACATTTGACAGGCTCTGGATATTCACCGGCATTTTTGAATGAATATTGGAATCTTGACTCATCAGGCCCTAATCCATAATGGACAGATCAAATCAAAGAACAGCGATCTGAAAAAAAAACAAAAAGGTAGAATGGTGACCTTTAAAAGTATGTACCTTTAGGGTTCCTGTGGTCGCAAAATTCCTGGGAAATGAAATTAGAAGAAGAGTTTTCCAGGCCTGGAAGTGGTTTGGAATTAAGTAAATGTTTTGGAAAAGTTTTGAATTTGCATTGTTTTGATTATTGTTCAAAATATATTCATAAAAATCCCAAAACATGCCAAACATTAGGCGAAATGATTCCTGTATTACTAATTTAAAATCTAGTGTTGCACTGCGTGACCACTGAAACGTTGCTTACATTGCAAGAGACACTGGTATATTGGCATGTGCAGCTAGTTGGAGGCAAGAATGTCAAACAAGCGGGTAAAGCTAGCGACTGCAAACAGTTTGCTTATCAAAAAATGCCTGGGGAGTGCATGGTTAATAATGTATGCCTGTATTGCTGAATAGGCTTATTTATGTTAAACTAAATAAAGTCATGGAAATGGGGTAAAATAATATGAAAAAATGATGTACTTAATTGTCTGACGTTCTCCATGTATACCACAGATGCAGCCTGCTGGTTTGAGGCCTCTCTGCTTCACTGAGCATGACTGCATGAGGGATGGGGTAAACACTGAGGCTTACAAGTGTGCATGTATTTATCACAGACCTTCTCCATGCTGCGGAGATATAATGGACACAGTTTGTCCATGCCCTATTGAATGACACATAGTAATATTTCCTGATGTGACTCGGCAGGATGACATCATTTTGTCTATGCCTGTAAAAGAAATCACACTTTACAGCAATGGTAAAGGTTTGGTTAGGTTTATGCACAATGACAACTTGGTTAGATTGAGGGAAGCATCATGGTCTGTTCAAGTTAGGGGAGCTTTGTCGCCATGGTTACACTTACAAACATGGTTACAATTCAGGAATGATCATGGTCATGCTTCAAAAAAAATATGTAGTCGTGTAAGGAAACAGGAAACAAACAGTCTGACGGGTTTCAACCCACCCTGACCTCCCTGCTTTGTGGACATCATTACTCTGCAGTTACATCACCTGACTCCTCCTTTGCTGTTTCACTCCAACATAAAATCAGATGACGTTCTGGGAAACTTGCTGACATGACAGATGTTGTCATATTTGGGAGAACCATCTTCCTAAAAATGCATCCAATTCAGCATCACAGCAGACATATGGCTTAGTCTGCTGCCGTGTGTGTGCACACAGACACACCAGAAACAATCATGATAATAACCAGCAGGTGACTGACTCCTCTTTGCCAAGGTTTTGAATTTGAAATCAGATACCAATGTAATGTATATGTGGATATTTCAGACCAGCTTGTATCATAACACGTTTTACATTTATAACTAATATTTAAAGCTTTCTGATGGGAACAAGTCATCTTTTACACCCAGTGAATTTCACCTGCTAACACTCTACTGTGTTAATGATGCTGTTTATTCCTACTGGGACATTATGTAAAGACAGACCTGGATTTCATTTAAAAATAAATTGATTATATAACTAAATAAGTGGTTTATGATCATTTCCAGGGTGCACTGTAGTAAACATATTTTTGTCCAGAAAGGGGGGTGGTAGACTAGAGATACATTTTGCTTAATGAACAGGCTATAAGACATTTGATAACTGTGCTCAGTGATGAATGTTAAATACTAATATTAAGTATGCTAAGTGTGTCACATATATGTATGTTTTCAGCTTTCTTTGTCCTGTTAAGTGCTTAAAAGCAAACCTAGAGGAGGAGACTGAATAAATTGTCATCCTTGAGATTCATATTAAACAGTTGTCTGAGAGGAAACTCAGCATCTAGAGGGGATAAAATTCACATTCCTTCTTCTGTTGGAAAGGTTCTTCTGCAGCTGCACCAGGTCAGTGGGATTTTTTGACAGCTGTTGTCACTGTCAGCGTGGTGAGGTGACACTGTCATGACACATTTTAGCTCATAGCTCATATATATATATATATATATATATATATATATATATATATATATATATATATATATATATATATATATATATATATATATATATAATTTTGGTCTATCTTTGATATTGTATTGTACTGTGTGCTTCAAGATTTTCCATCACTATTGACTATTCGATGTATCACTGAGGTTGCATTTATGAATGATCCATATTTGTGTTGTTTTTAATGTTAATCTGAACCAGCTGGTTTCTGTTAAAAGGGACACACGGCCACAAACCATTTAACGCTGAGGACGGCTATGAGCTGAAACGTGTCAGTTCGACTGCTGCTGTGCAATCCACTATATTAAAAAGTATTATACTTATTAGTGAGTGCTGTCGGGTTTTTCTGCTTTGCTGTAACTTTTTGGACCGGCACCCAATTACACTTTGAGACTCTGGAGTGAGCGCGACAAGTTTGCTGAAGACTTATCTTCGTACACGACAGTACTAGCCAGCCGGCTGTGACCTCCCCAAGATGGCGGCGATCTTGACGCACAGTAGCCACAGGAATGAGTCATCTATGATTATATATATATATGGGGGGAGCCATGGCCCCCATGATAGCCTAGCCTATATTCATCAACAGCAGAATGGAATATGTGAAATTCAGTTATGACTTTTGGTTTTGGTGTGCCACCCCAAGCTTTCAGTGGCCCCATCTGGCCACCCATATGAAACATTTCTGGGGGTGCCACACATTAGTTTATAATCACCTAAAAATAAGAATGTTTGTGTTCTTGTTACCTTGAGGCTCATTTATACTCCCTTTACATATGAAAATAGATATGTCCCTTCCACTGGTTGGAAACATCACTTTCTATGTATTTGCATGCATCCTTTATGTTGGCATAGATACAGCCAATAGATGGCACTGGAGGGCAGAGTCAGAAGTTTCTGACTAAAACCAATGCGGTGGAAATGGTGGAGGTTGTAATATTGTACCTTTAAATGTGGGCAGTGTGTAGACAGCAGTGGTCTGTGTGGCCATTATTCACATCCCAACACATGGACAGAGAATTCTTTGTCACTATATCACCAGTTTCAGTATATTCTCCAGTTGTATCACACTTGTACTAAGCTTCACTGCCTCCACTATCTGCTGTGGTGCTCCGTTTCATTCCAGTCCTTAAGCTTTCAGAAAATATGCACAAATACAGACAAAATGAACACAGAGTATGGACAGAGGGCTCCACCCGTCTCTGTCTCTGTGTCTAATGTTGAGCATAAATGAGCTGTTTATATCTACATATAAAGTGTGTCCACTTCTGCAGAGTCTGCCATGTTTTAGAGTAGCCCAGAAGGGACATATCAAACATTGCGGACAGGGTCATTTGCATTTTCACGTTTACACATTGGTCACTTTACTTCTCCTACTCACTTGGCACATGGGAGAAGTTCTGCATCCTCACCACTAGATGCCACTAAATCATTCACACTAGAACTTTCAAATGTGACTGAAGGAGTTTGGTCATCAGTGCGGTCAGAGAAGCAGATTCTCTCCACTGCATCTGTGAGATCTGTCACAGCCTGGCTCAAGGGAAGGACAAAGAGGAGAGGACAACACATGACTTTTATCATCACATTTATTTAACAAAATATAAGTTTAATCAGTGCAATATGAAGTGTGTAAATCAGTAAAATCAGCAGTGCTTTGTGTGTTTGAGTGTACAGTGAAGTGTAATGAACAAAGAAAGTAAACACAACAGGAAAAAAACCTGAAGCAGACAACAAACCATACACTCAGGGTGAGAGAGAGACCGACCGACTCCAGCAGCTTATATAGCAGAGGAGCAGCAGCACGCAAGGTAGGAGTTAATCAGTGATGCCCTTCCTGCTCCCCTTCAAGGGACAGATAGCCAAAGCAGAATGTCCGTCATCTCTACACTTACTCACAGCTTCCTCCTCCTCTGCTGCTGTATTTTCAGACAGTCTCA